GTTTTCTATTTTACAGTTTACTTTTACGTTGTTTCATGGATTCACCAGAGGCTGCAAATCTATTATCTTGTTCAGTATTCCCATCTTTGTGCTGTCCTACGAATAATCTTAGAAATACAGTGCCCACTCTTAATCCCAATCACCAAATACTAATATTTTTTAACATCATGGATAATCACTGTCTTGTATTTTTGAAACACATCGTCTTCTAAATTTTCTTTTCTCTCTTCCTCTCCCTGGCAAGTTTTAAATCCTGCCTATTCCTCTTCTATAACTTTAGCGGAACTGCATTCCAGCTCCAGGACACCTAGTTTACATATCTGACCTGCAGAAAAATTTCTCTCCATTTCAAAGGCTAGTAGAAAACTCCAATGCAGTTAGTCTCCCTCAAACCCTCCTTTCAAACATCTTCACTGTCCCCTCCCAACCGTACATTCCTTGTGCATTTAAACTTCTTGTCATCACCTTCAAGAATCCACTTCCTCCCCCCTTGCATCTGCTTTCGTTTTCCTCCTACTCCCCCCCAATTCCTGCCCAGAAGCCCCGCCAGCTGCCTGTTGCATAACTGCTCCCCCACTGCCGTCTCCCTGGACTGTGAGCCCCGCTCCCACAAGCAGGAATGCCCTTTTTGCCAACTCCTCCTCCCTGCTGCGACACGCCCAGCGATTCCCCGAGATTAAGCCCCACCGAGGATTCTCCCTCCAGGCGGGGCAGGTCGCGCTTCCAGGCCGCGCCTCCGAGCGGAGAGCCGGGTCTAAACTTCGGTGGTGAGCCCCGAGGGCAGAGCCGGCCCGCTGCACCCGGCGCGGCCCGAGCACCCGGCGGCGCCCGGCCAATCACCGCCGCCATCCTCCCGCTGGGGTGATGTCTTCAGGTGTCCGGGGGGGAAAGCCCTGCGTACTTCCAGCCCCGCTCTCGGCGAGGGGTGACCGGGCCCCAGACCCCGGGCCCCGAGGGAAAGCCGAGGCGGGCCCCGGGTCCCGAAGGAGGCGGGTGGGCGGCGGCGGCCGGGCGGACGCCGGCCAGAAGGCGTGGGCCTGCCCCGCGGGTGGCGCGCGGCCAGGGATGGGCAGCGGAACGGACGGAGGCGGCCGAGGCCTCCGCGGGGGCCAGGCATGGAGGCCTCGGCGGGTTGCGGCGCCCCCAGCCGGGCTGCGGGACAGCGGAGCCGCGAAGCGGACTGACTGACGCGGGGCGGGGGCCGCCGGCTGCCTCCGCCACTGCGCGGGGCAGAGGCGGCCTCTCCCTGCCCTTGCTCCCTTCCCGGCCCGCCTCACCTTCAGAACCCGGATTCCAGCCGCCCGGCGGCTCGCGGGCGCTTCGGGCGGCTCCGGGGGCTCGAGCGGGCCAGCGGGCCCAGGCTCCACCTCCCCCATCAGCGGCGGAGGCTGCTCAGGGACGCCCGGCCGGCGCGACGGCGCGCGGAGGCTCGGCAGCGCGCGCGAGCAGCCCTCGGCCCCGCCCCCCGGCAGCCGCGGGCCCCGCCCCGGGCCCGGCCCCTCCCACAGCCCCACCAGAGCTGCGTAACTGCGGGCCTGGCATGGCCCCCGCGCGGCGAGCCGCATCCCGGGGGGCTGGCTCCTAGCACCCCGCGGGCGGAGCCAGGCGCCGCCGCAGGGCTGGGCCACGGCTGCCCGCCGCTCTCGGTTTGAAGGACTGAAGCTCAGGAAGGGTTATTGCTTACTGCTGTCCGCGCCTCCCAAGTGCGGGATGGACGAGGGGCACGTGGGGGGTCTGCATCTGTCGGTAGTGACAGGAGGCTGCTGTCCGCAGAGGTGGCTCTTCTCACCTCTCGCAGACGTTTCCTCTCTCAAAACTGGCCTGTGACCCTCACCTGCATAGCCATTGAACGAATTGCTGAGAATACTCTCCTTAGCAAGGCCTTTTCCATATTAAAGGTGCTCATGACCTTCTTCAGCAAATCTGACCCAACTTTAGGTGCTAAATATCAAATCACCTCCCAGCCACATTTGAATTCCCTTTTTTCTTCACATAGTAAAATTACCAGAATTGTTTTCTCTGCTCAAGCAGTAATATGGTCTGTGAGCCATTTTATTTTTTGCAAGGCTAATTCAGAAAATCTTTGAAAGTTAATTTATTATTTTCTTTTAGTTCCTGCAGGGATGGTAGTCTGAAGTCGGTCAGTGGGCCAAATTTGGAGTCAAACAGCCAAATTCCAAATCTCAGCTCTACCTCTTAACATCTATACTCTTGTGCAAGTTATTTGATCTAAGCCTTTGGTTCTTAGCTGTGAAATAGAAATTAGTATAAGCCCATTAGCTATTAGGAAGATTTTGTGAATGCATACAATGTGCTTAACACATAGTAGGAATTCATACTATTATTAATTCTTAAGTACCAGATTTAAGATTCATTTGGTTTCTGAGGGAGTTCTCTTCTGTTAATTCTGCTCTCAATTTTCCTAAGAAATCTTCTAGACTTCTGGATTTTTAGGTCTTCCCCTCCTACACAGGTGTTAATGAACCTTCAAGCAAAAAAAATGGGCTTTTAGTAAATGGTAAAGATCCTATCACTTCACTGTTTGTTTGCCTAGTCCAGACCTACCATCTATTTGAAATATTTTAATTGAAGGCTTACTACAAGAGTTTGAGATCTAACAGTGCAGTCTGTGCCCCTCTACTGGGAAATATACCCATTTGGAGATAATTTAAATTCCAGAACAAAATTAAACTCTTGACAAGATTCTGACTCTGTACAAGTTATTTCTTCTGTAAGAAAGTTTGTCACTACTTTTTCCTTCACATGAGTTACTTTGCATATACCAAAATTCCAACCTCCAGGAATATTCATGTCTCATTTTAATCAATTAAAAATGATTTGTCTCTGTCACTCTAGTGTAAGATGAAAACAAAAAACTCTTAGAATGTCTGCTTTCTGGGCTTTTCTTCTACCTTGAAACTACTTTCAAGAAAGCTACTTAAAATAGCTGGATTCTCATTTCAGTGCTTAACGGGTAACTTCTTTCAGCAAGAGCACTGGTTTATGAGAGATAGGCACCAATATGGAGACAGACACGGACCTGAACAAGGGCAGACAGGCAGTGTAAAGAATAAAAATGTGGTTCAGAACTAGTGTTTCTAAAAGCCTGTTTCCTGAAATATACATTACCTTGTTCAGATCTTATGAGCATAAGCTCTTTTCTGATTGATCACCCCAAGGGGTAGCATCTTGTCCCAGGAAGGACCAGCAATGTAAGTTTATACTGGGGAACAGCAGTAGTAGATGAATCGTTTGTTTTTTCAATTAATGGGATAGTGGGATAAAGCATCAATTCCGAATACAAGCATATGCTAAAGTTATCTATTTACTATTACTTCAACAAGAACAACAATAGCATCTTTCAAAAGGAAAAGCTACCAGCCCAGATGTTGCAGCGGATAATTTGATGCAACTCTCTTCAAAGGTCTCCATGATTTAAGATCCAATTCAGTAATTAGTGACAACCAGTTGATTCTGTTTTCTTTTCAAATCATGTACTGCCATTAACATTTTATACAAAGGTCACATATTCATGTTCTCCCCCAGTTCAAGGCAATGTGCATTATGTATGCCAAGGGTTATGTAACTATAATTTCTGGAAATGGTAAACAGCTGAGACTAACCCTAAAAATAAATTCCTCTGGGATTTTTTGTGCAAAAATCCATCTGCCCTCACTGCAGGTTCATCATGACAAAAATCACTGTTTGGATCCAGCCAAGAGACATAGAAGTCATTAGACTCCCTCCTCTCTGTGTGCTTCCTATAAGCAGCTGTGCGTACCTCTTTCCACCTGCAGGGAGGGGAGACACACACACACACACACACTCTCTCTCTCTCTCTCTCTCTCTCTCTCTCTCTCTCTGTTCCAGGACCTTTTCCTAATCCTCACTACAAAATGGCAAGAGGAAAGTCTGGCAAATATAAGTTCATATATATCATATTTTGGTAGAATAAGCCTTGAGAGCTTATTATATTTGCTTATTTACAGCTAGGTTCTACTCCTTTGAGGATCACAAAGTCATCTTTAGGCCTAAGTCCCTTTTTATTTATACCACAGGTTGTGCAGATTTAGATATTTCTTATATTAGTTCCAAATAAACAGGCAGTATTTACCTGGCTTCCAGGTTTGAAGGAATTTTTTCCTTTAATATTTTAATATTTTTTGAATATGGGGAGAAAGTAGCATGGGAAACCCTTGAAAGTAGTAAAAACTAATTTGGTCCTTCTGAAGTTCAAATCTGAACTCCATTCATTGTATTGTTAAATAAATGTCTGGAGTCTATTAAAAGGTTAAGCTTCTGTACTGTAGCTTTCATATTTTCTTCTAATTAAGAGGCAGATGAAGGTGTCAACTAAATTTAATATTAGAAACAAAAATGAATTTTAACTAAGCCACATAAAAGGAAAGATTACAGAAATGTCACTTACCAAACAGTGCCATAGGGCACTCCTGCATAAATTAGATAATTGCCAAGGCCTACATCCTTTTCTTTCTTAATTAGGGGACTGTCTCACTCTCCTGCTTCTCAACAAGTGACCGTCAGGGATCATCTGAGGAACAGGAAACCTAGGGCTACCAACTTCCAACCACTCTCACTTCTATAGAAGAGCTCATATAAAATAGGTCATGAAATACTCTTTTTGGCTGGTCAAGACTTCTTATTCTCAATCACAGATATACTTGAATACTTCATAACAGAAGCTTATTAACTAAAACCCCATGACCACCCATAATACACTTTTCACCTTGATATTCTTTCTTTGCCTTAAGAAATTCACCAACATAGAGAAGATAAGCATGGCAATAATCATTTGTTAAAACTTCCAAATGTACTTTCCGCTGTCTGTAACTACAAGTTTTTTTTTAAGTTGTTCAAATTCCTTAGTCAGATTTCTCTGTAAAAGGAATATTTACATGTCAATAAGTTTAGCCCAAAGCTCTGGAATAAGAATTCATCCAAGGCTTCTCTAGCCCACTTGTAAGAAGCGAGGAAGCAAATTTTAATTCATTGAGTATTGACTTTTTATTATTAGTCACTGTTCATAATTTGTTTCAACCAAAAGACAATACACACAGAATTCTAATGCATCCCATGTAAATGTTTACAGCCATTTTATTATTCCTCACTCACCTCTAAGACTTATCATTTAATTTTAAATTTTTTTTTACATCTCAAAAATATGTCTGCATTAATTAGAACTTCATTAGCTGTCCCACTTGAAAACAGCTTTTTAATATTTTTACAGTAAAGAAGATGTGATGGGGCTTAATGAAAATGTAACTTACAAGATTATGGAAGAAAAGGGACTTGACAGGGACACAATGGGAATTCACAAAGGAAAGAGTTCAGAAGCTCTTTCCCATGAGGCCCCAAAATAGAAAATGAAAACAAAAACACACAGAGCCCAACAGCAGGTTCCAAAAACAAAAACAAAAAAATTGCCAATGCTCCATCTTGAAGCCAGAATCAGCCTCGTGGAAGTTTGTGAAGCAACCGTGCAAGCTGCTTCCACATTTTCTCCTATTTAGGTGTTCCAGGTCCTGGAACTCTATAGATGGGACACGCTCACTGCTATTGCTTGAAAAAGAGTTACTCACTTCCAGTTCTACAAGCAGCCCCACCCTCCTGAGCCAAAGCTGGTCAAAGTGTTTTAAACTTCAGGACTTTCTGAGCAATTCTCTCTTAGTGATCCTCCCCATTCCCAAATTCTTGAGTAAGAAGACATGTGTGACCTCCTCTCCACCAACCACAAAGTTCATGAATATCCACTTTTTGCTCTCTAGCTCTCTCTTGGTTTAGGACAATGTGGTTAAAATACATTCACTAGGAAAAAATATACATATTCAAACTCTTTTGTTCCTCTAGTTCTCGTGGCCCAAATATTTCCCAATGTAGAAGATAATGAAGTTGAACCTCAAAAATGGTATCTTGTAACTTCCAATCTCTTCTAGAAAAACATAAAAATGGAAAGTATGTTATATAGTAGATGGAAATACTCAAATCATTAGTGCTGGACAGTTTTAAGTCTGTTTTCTTCTGTGAATGGGACAAAAAAGGGATATGAACCACATCTTTAACTGAGCAAGAGGAAAGAATCCCCTCCCAAATGTTACACTGTGGAATGTTTAAATGAGGAAGACCTTAAAATGAACAAATCATCACTACACGCAGCATGAAACATTCCATGGCTGTCCAAATCACCTCAAGGTAAGAGCACGGGAGCATTGTGGGAGAAGTTTCTCGGGTTCAGCACCCTTACTACAATTTTTTTGAGATTACTTAGATTGATTCTCCTTTAGGATTACTTGGGGGAGGGGGGCAGATACAGAACACAAACTACTCCGTAAGAGGGAAAAAATGAGGTAAAAGTGCATGTGAAATTATCTATCTTAAGTGTTGAGGCTCACTGCTTATCACCCTGGAGTTATTAAAACAGCCATGGAAATTGCTCTTTCCTCATAATGGCTCTGAAGTCATAAATCTATCTAAATTTGCTCCCCCTTGAATGGTTATATTAGGGAAAGAAATTACTGAAATATGCAAGAATTCACAGAAATTAGGAGATTTCTCCTCTAAGCAGCGAGGCCAAGTGAGAAAATAACTAATTCTGATCCTAGAAACTAAGGCACGCTGAAGCTTTCAAAGATCCAATCATTTGAAAGAGCCTGCACAGCCATCAGGATCCTAGGCAGTTTCCTGGTTGCCAGGCTTTAGTATGGTGCTCAGGTTCACTCTCCCAAATCACTCCGTATTCTATGCCACACCCTTTGTGTTAAGGCCATGATTTGTATTCTGTCTAGACAAAGCGATAGATAATCATCTAACTCTACCTCAAAACTATGATCACCCACAGAGACGCTTTGTTTAGAGTAGACCCTTTTCAGTTCCATTAGCTCACACTGTCTTCAGCAGATTTGAGATTCCACTCAGTTCAACTAAAGAAACTTGAACTGCTTCACCATAAACGTCAAAGAGAAAATAAAGCCTCTGCCACAAAGAGGAATGTTAGACAAATTCTATTCACGAAATCCACCAATATTGCGTTAATCCTATCATATTTCACAGCACTAAATATGCATCCAATAAAATCAGTCTGCAAAGGAACTTTTAGAGGCTGTTTTTGATCGCACAGGCAGAGCAGTTGTCTGAAATAACACTAGTCCCCACTTACTTCAAACTATGCACAAGATATCCTGTTCTTGACTCAGTTAACCATTTACCCAGTGGAGTAAGTTTTAGCAAATCTTGCTCTTACATACTTATACCAGGAAGTTTCCCCATTGCAGCCTTTAAGTTCAACTCCAGTTTGTCAAATGTTAGAAGTACTCCAGCATCTGATACAGAGCTAGATTTGACAAGACACTGAAGATTTTAAGTAAAGGCTTAGTGAAATGCACAGGGAAAAAATGGATGCTTATACCCAGGTTTAAGATCAAAGCCAAAGTAGTCATTATACTGTACTCAATACAGTAATGAATGCAAATATTTGAAGAGCAAGGTGGGCCTGACTTCTCCTTTCTTCCTTAGTGTTTAGTTTATCAGACATGGCACCTGCACACCTGAACATACACAGTACATTCAACATGTGCCACAGGGGCCACGTTACCTTGTTCCAGCAACTCAGCATCAAGATTTGATAATACAAAGGTCCTCTCTAAAAAGCACTCGGCACTCTCACTAGTTTAAACGCTCCAGACCTCAAGTCTTTGATGCAGACATTCATGAAATTAGCCTCTCTCAAGAGACCACTTTCTCAGACTCAGGAAAGGATATCCCTATCTCCTATGGTGTCCATAAGACTTCCTCTGACATCAAGAGCAAGGAAGCTGTAAGGCTTCATTCCAAAACGATAAAGTACAATATAGGAAAGATTTCTTTAACCGTGTGGTCTTTATTTCAGTGCCAGTGTTACAGATACAACACAAATGTTCCAGTTAGAAGAAGGAATTCAAACGGAATGCCAAGGTCCAAGCCAGGCTCAGGAAATAAAAAAGGAGGTTTGGAGTAATGGAGAATTTGACTCCAATATGCTCCAGGATGAGTCTGATACTCATTCTTCCTATGGGCAAGGGTGCTTTTGTTAAGGAGTCTAGTCTTTAAAAATGGTGAACTCCTCTTTCCAATCATTTCCCATAGTCAACAGGCAAGTTATGGGCTTAGGAGAAACTTTAAAATTTGTGGTAGGAAAAGGGACATTAATAACAATATACCTTTTAGAAGTTGTCCACTTTGCACTTTAGGGGAATCAATTTTGAAAATCATGGCGAGTATTCATGACTACAGCTAAAGAATGGAGAAAAAGGGGAGCTGGAAGAGCCTTGGAAGTTTCTATTACAAATAGAGCACCATATCCTTCATGCCAAATCTCAACAAAAGCTCCTTTTAACTGCATCTATCCAGTGTATACAAATAACCTCTCAAGGTCTGACCAGTTCTTGGTAACAAACATACATACATGTGTGTGTTTGTGTGTATACAGCAATGCACAGAGAAGGCTACCAGGAGCCTAATGCCTCTTTCAAACATTGGGGGAACCAGTAGAAAAAGGCAGGGCTCCCTAATGTCCACTGTCATATTTCCATTCTGAATGCCAGATGTAAAAAGCGCCTGAAGATGGTAACCCAGCTAGTGAGGAATAAATACCCCACCTTGCCCAGTCCACAGAGAAACACAGTATAAAGAGGGGCAACTCCTCGCTGCAGAGACAGAGTGAGTGTTTTCTTGCCATGGATTCCAATCCTCTCCTCCAGACCAGCTGCTTATTTCCTCAAGGACCCAAGGAATGTTGATTCTGGCCGTAAATGTGGGAGGGGTGGAGAAGTGTGGAAAAAGGAGAAGAGGGAGAGTGCAAGGTAGCCTCCAGAAGCAGCCAGCCTCAACAGCGGAGGAGAGGAGATTAGTCTAACAACGCTTCAAGGTCAGGAAAAATCCTCCTCAACAGTTCTCTTCAGCTCCTCATGCCCATGGTACAGTTGGGGGGACTTGCCAGCGATCACAACTTCCTTCCCAGAGTTCCTTTGATTGAGTGGGATAAGAATGAGAAAGGTGCCAGACCCTCATTGCCAGGACTGAGGGGGAAAGTTGTTCACCTCTGCTAGATCTTGCATTGCTGAGCCCTTGTGATTATATGTGAGCTTGATCCGCATTCGCAGCTGTTGCTGTGAGAAGAAAAGAGAATCACAAATTATATACTGAAATAAAAATCTTTAGAATCAGTGCACCCCACAAATAGACTTTTAATCTTAGAAAAAAACAAATTATTTTAAAGCAAAGCTGTAACTCAAAGACGCCACACAGGCAAACAACAACAACAAAAAAACATCTAGTACTCTAGCCAATGTCATGTAGTCAAGTACAGAAAATGCATCTCTAGTGTTCACACCTCCAGGACACATCATTGGCTTCAATCCTACAACTGCATTAACAGGACAGAACCATTGGGAAGCATTTTCATAATAACATTTGTGGAGTGCTTTTCAAAAAGATCCAAACCATGTATTCAAGTTTCCAGAAAAATGAGGAACATAAAAAAATCCTATGTTCTACATTCAGAGATACTGTTACTTTGTCTGTAAAACCTACAGTGAAGGTGAACATAAATTTCTTTTGTTCTCAAGGCAGAAAAAGTTAAAAAAAAAAAAAAAGAAGCTAACTTATGGCAACAGCAATAATTTTAAGAGAACTCAATTATGAGTCCTTTTTACTTTACATGGCAGATTTCAAATATAGATGCACAACAAAAATTTTTATGTATCAGATCATCAAAGGAACGTGCTTTTGCTATAGGCAGATACTCAAAATACAGTGAATAGAGGAAAAGCAAAGGGTTATAAAAGGAAGAAATCATACTGGTATTTATGAGATGCTACTGGAAATCTTTTTAAGTGAAAAAAATATCTATTTTCAAGAACTGGCAACTAGTCAATTGATTGCTATTAAGTGGAGTCAATTTACTTCTTTGAGAAGGTAATAAAAATATTGCTTAATTTCAGTTGCTACAGCTATTTTTCAATTTGGCTACATCATTAAAAATTCTCTATTTTTATTACACATACTTAATTACAGTAGCAAATGTGGCTATTTAGTTCAACAAATGCTCTTACCCCTAAACGCAACCTGTGTAAAGATTAAAATGTCTAAGCTTTCCCCATCTGCCAGCAAAGGACTAGACCTTTAAGCCTCTAACTAGAGAATTTTTTAAAGCTGCTTTTAATAAGATGCTACTAAACTATTTAATGCATCTGGGTTCTGTTTAGCACCTACAAAAGAACAAGGAGATTAGGCCAGATATTTTCACAAATTTCTTCTATGATTATGAGTCAGAAATACCTAGAAAAACAAAGCAGAATTTTGTTTCAGGAAATATGCTCTCACCTTGCTCAGGTATGTCTTCAAATGTGTTACTTACCTTCTGTGGGTTCAGAACTTTAATGACTTGTGTGATGGTCCCTGTATTAAATGCTGGGACAATGCTGCTACTAGGAGACAGAAGCTGCAGCTGGAATGTCTAGGGGGAACAAAGCACACTCTTCAGGAAAAGCGATACACTTAATACTATGTCAGCGATGCCAACAAATACAAAAAGGCAGACACCCAGATGACAGTTCAAGTAACAGAGTTATCTACTGCTAAATTCTGTTTGTTTTCCATAGCATGTGGGCTGACTGTCACCTCATGGTATTTATAAAACCCCACTGTTTGGTATTTGACCAGGAAAATTAGCAATGAGCCACTCTCCCCTTTGGAACTTTAGCCTACCACTTTTCAAAAGGTAACCAATTCTTGTTCTGGCAAGGTCACTTAATAGTAACTGATCAACTATACAGGTGAAAAACTGGTGCCTGTTGCTAAAAAAAGCTAGAAAGAAATGAAAAGTTTTCTAAAAATAACAAACCAGCATACCAGTCACCAACTATAGGCCTTGACACTTTTGTGTAATTGGATGATTGGGTCCCAGAGACTTGAGCTTTTTGGTTTTCTAAAGTCTAACTAATCTGGAATGTGTCAAGGCCTACTCCTAGATGACAGAGGTGAAGCAAAGGCCAGAAAGAGCCAGGCTGTTAATATGTGGAACACATCAGGATCTCCCCATTGGGGACATTAAGGCCCTTACAGAAAAATTATGTGCAGAACCAGCCAATATAGCAAAAGAACTGGAAAAGCCAAACACAGCCATTTGTTGCATGCTGGTGGGTTTTGTTGTTCACAGGGAAGACAGATAAAAGTACTATGAGCAAGAAAGGTAAACCATGTTGTAGCACAATAAGTACGTATGTAGATACTCCACATGAGGGATTTCAAAAATCTTTTGAGGTTGGGGTGGGAGGCAGTCTCCCTCATCTTCTCTAAGGTCAAAATTAATAAGAGCAGACACTGAATCTCAATGGAAGACTTATTATATAATGTTGGGTCTTATTCATAATTCTATTGTCAAGATAAATTATGGGAGCTAAAACATTATTCATTTATTTACATTTACTTCATTAAATGTAAGATGACATTCAATTGTAATTTACACAATATTTTATGTACCATTGAGAAACAGGCTGCCAATTAAAAATGACAAGGTATCAATTTAAAAATGTTCCTCAATTTCAGAAATAGCAGAAGTAAAAATAGTAATAGTAGAATCTATGAAACATATTTTGAAGTTCAAAATACAGCATGATTTGCAAATAGGCATTGTATGGTACGGCACCAAGAACAAAGCCATGCTTTAAGAGAAGGGATATGCTGCTAGAACAGGAGCCTAAGGTAACAGTATAAAACTCTAAATTGCAGCAGCTAAAATTTACTGAGCACTGAATGCGGAGAAAGTGTTTAAAACAGTACTAAGCACATGAAATTCATTTATTCATTAAAGGAATCCTATGAAGTAGATATTATTACCACCCCCCTTTGCAAATGAAGAAACTGAGACACAGAGGTTAGGTAACTTGCTTAATGTCATACAACTAGATTTGAAATTACTTCACTGCACTGCTTCTAAAACATCTACATTATTCTGGCTCCTAAAAAATGCAAGTAAAGAAGGCTGCTAAGTCAGCAGTAACCACAAATGAAAGGTCTTCCATTTCCAAAAATGTGTTGCCTGAATGTCATATTTCACATGTTAACAATCACATTAGCTTAGTCTAAACCAGGGGTCATGGGTCAATAATGTCCTGACGCCTGTTTCTGTAAATAATGTTTTACTGGAACTGGAGCCATGCTCTGTCATTTACATATTGCCTGTGGCTGTTTTTGTGCTGTAACAGCAAAAATGAATAGATGCAACAGAGACTACATAGCATAAAATACTATCTTGTCTTAATTTTGCCCACTCCTCATTCTAAATTTTCCTTTATTCACAACTTCTCATTATTCAAAGATGGATATAAACACTCCTTAAACTAAGATTTGGCATGAACAAAACTTCAATTTATAATACAGTCATTGTAAATAGTAAACTAAATGTTAATGAAGGAGGATTATCTCTCAATTACAGATCAATTTTAATTCTGATCCAGTAACTAGAAGAGAATATCAAATAAAGTCTCTCATCTTAATTAACTTTAATTCCATGTAATTTGTGTTTCTTAGGTCTATACCATTCTATCACTAACCCCAACCTATCCTCTACCTCGAGCATTAACAAACCACAATGTAGAATCCTACATTCTAGTATTAGAATGTCTTTTGTTTAACCTACTATACTAACTGTAAGAATATTTATGACCAGGTAAAAAGTATTCCCTAAAAATGACATGCTTCAATGAACCATAACAGTTATGTTACTGTTAATTTATATCTGCACATTTAATCTCTAAACATTAAAATATATCCTTAACAAATGCATGAAAAAAAATCAGCCAATCTTTAATCAAATAGAAAGGCAAAGAAAACATTGTAGTACCTTTGGTACTGCAGCCTGGAAAACAAAGTCTGTCATGTCCAACTCTGTGCTATTGGAGGCCTGTATCGTTATTACAGTGACACTGGGATTGGTGTTGGACCGTTCAAAGGTGAATTCTATCTTCAGGCCATTCTTACTGTATGCTGTGATGGAGGGAATGCCTGGAAAAGTACAGGGAAATCAGTCTAACTGTAGTCAGCCGAATGCATGCAGAACTAATATTTCCTTTCTTGAACAACTACTTCTCATTGCTCTAAAGATAGTGCTACTAATCATACCTGCAGCGATGTCATTGAAAAGAGGCTGTGATGAAAGCCCATCCAACAAGAAGGGAGGCTGGGAGAGCTGCGGGACTGAGGTGGGGGCGGGAGCAGCAGATGGAGCACCTGCATGGGACATTCCAACACTAAGTCAGTCAGCATGACAATCCTCACCAAGAAAGTAAGAGGAGAAAATCATCACGATCTCAAGTTGAAGGAAGGATTCTTTAAGAAGCAAAAAGCATAATCCATAAAAGGAAAGAACTAAAAATTCAAATATCTTAAAATGACTAACTTCCATTCCTTAAAATCACTCTAAAAAAATAGACCATAGACAGGAGAAAATATATGCTACAAAATAGTAAATAGATGAGTATCCAAAACTATAAATATCTTCTACAAATCAATAAGAAAAAAGATAACCCAATTTAAAAGTGACAGAACAAGCAATTCACAGAAGAGGGAACTTGAATGAAGAGGGAATCTTATGAAAAAGAGATGCTCAATCATACCAGTAATGAGGGAAAATGGAATTTAAAACCACAATGAGATATTACTTCACAGCCACCAGAACGATGAAAAATTTCAAAGTCTGGTAATACCGGATACTGGAAACGATCTGGAGCAATAGGGACTTCTAATAGCTGCTGTAGGGATGAAAACTGATACAATCAAACTAGAGAACAATTTGGCAATAGAAGATTTGAACATGAGTACACCCCTAAACTAAATTTCCTCAACCTCAAAACCAATGTTATTTTAGGCCAGATAATTCTTTGCTGGGGGTGGGGGGAGAGGAAAGCTATCTTGTACATGGTAGGTAATCTGGCAGCACCGTGGCTTGCCCCACTAAATGACAGTAGCATCCTTCCAATGGTGACAACCAAAAGTATTTCCATACTCCCAACCCCTGGTAGCAAAATCTTCCCCACCCTGCCCCGCATACACCCCCAAGTTGGAAATTTGGAATGCTTTTGACTAATTCTTGCATATGTGCAAGAGAAACATGTACAAAAAGTGTGCAGAGCAAGAGAGTTTTTAACAACGAAATTCTGGAAACAATCAAAGGTCCATCAATAAGATAATGGATAAGTAAATTGTGGTATACTAACAAAATACAATACTATACATATGTAACAGTAAAAATACAAACTAGAAATACACTTAAGATGGATTATTCATGGATTCATTGGATTCTCACAAATACAATGTTTAGCAGAAAAACAAGGTGCAAAAGAACACATTTAGGTAGATATTTCTGAACAGGTAAAAATTGGCAAAATAATACTACACACTATCTGTATGCACAGTAATGGAAAACATCAAAACTAAACTCTGCTTAAGGATAGTAGTCACCTTTGAGATCGAGAGGGAATGAGCTGAGGGGGAAGTACATGAGGAATGTCAACTCTCTTAATAATATTTCTTTCATAAGTTAAGTAGATCAAGGCATTTATTGAATTTTATAGAGGTTAAATATTACATAATAAAATTCTAACACACACACACACATACATACACCCTGGGAACGGTGGTATGGAATTGGAAGAAATCACCAGATTACCATTTTTATTTGATCTTTTCAAATGAAAACAAACTGACCATCATACAATAGAGGGCAAGTGACAGAACATGACCATGAACTGAGAGAAATCAGGATTCCAAGAAGAGACATCATAAAATTCAGCAAAAAACAAGAGAATTCATCGATCTTTAAATAGATTTCAAACTACTCAAGAAAATACACATATCATTTTAAAAAGCATTAACAAAAAGAAATAAAAGACGGTTGAAATGCCTTTTTCAAAAAAAATACCCAAGTACATAAGAAAAAAATGACCTAGGGGGAAAATGGGGCATTATCATTAGCACACATAATGTAGGGTGGGGGGGACATGGGAAAAGCTGTAATGGGATATGTGGGGGGGACCTGATAATGGGGGAGTCTAGTAACCATAATGTTGTTCAAGTAATTGTACATTAATGATATCAAAATAAAAAAAGTATAAAAAAAATGACCTAGTAAAAATTAGCAAGGAAGGAGAAATACATAAGGCTAAACTAAGCACAGGAAGCTAAAACAAATGTGAACACCAAAGAATGTGCAGACAAGCAAATTACCAATCAACTATATAAAGAAATATTCCTATGATTCTCCTAGTTTTTATAAATCTAATCTGGTAATTTTCCCACAATTTCCATTTTCGTAAGTATTTTAGCAATGTGTTTCCATGGAAGACCAGAGGCTACCAAGACATATGGGAAACAGATGGGTCTGTAAGTCCCTCAAATTTTAGCCTTTTCTTCTTGTAAACATACAATAGGTAGTTTTGGGAAATTACAAAAACTCACTGCTTTAATTCCTCTAAAAGCATACACGATTTATTTCCTAATTTCCACCAATTTAAATTACTATGCATTAGGATATGACTGTAATGATGGCTTAGAATCTAGAACTCAAAATCTGTTAACTTAAAAGTGCAAAGAAAATGGGAAAATGCATTTACAACACATTATGAATAAAGAAAGGAAAATCTAGGCTTTTGCACATTTTATCATTTTGCTCTTTCACATAACACTAGGAAAATAAGACAGCAAGAACCACAAAACAAAACATTAAGATCCCATGATAAATGAGTTAAGGATACAAAATGAATGTGCAAAAAAGGAAATTCACATATAATGCAAATATGGATATATAGGAAATATTTCTTGTGATTAAAAAAATAAAAATTAACAAAATAATAGGAGCAATCTATGACCTGTTTGGACTTTCTAAAAATGGTAATACATAACATTTATGACTATACAGTTTAAAATTGTAATTGTGAAGATTATGGACTAAAATGAAAATGCTAGTATGTTCTTAAGTAAAGCATATCCTCTGTACACCATGTTTTATCTATAGGGTTGTTTCTGCTTTTCCATATATCCAATATAGCCTTGGTATCTGAGGACTTGACACTATTTGTGAATGATGTAACAATTTGAAAGTTTGTGACAACATGGATACAAACCACCCAACACCTTTATACTGTGGCTGTTTTCTACTTGAGGACACATATACTGTAAACCTCCATTATACTTCCGAAGAAGTCATTTAAAATAGAAAGTAAATGTTAAAAGTGACACTCTTAGACCCAGGGGCTCATAATATTGCTTCGCACATCAATTACAAATGTGTACTACACATAAACAAAGGTAAGAAAAAAATTTCCCCAAATGGAAAGTTATGTTTAAATATTATAATTATGTTTTTTTCCTTCTACGGCTTTATTAACAGGGAAAGAGGGAAGGAAAAAGGGAGGGAAGAAAATAAGTTAACATCTCTCCAGTCTCCACAAACGGCTATCACTCTTGAACACTAACCACGAGTAGAAAGAAATCTAGAAAAAGTGACGTCTTAGGACACTAACAAAAGCAGAAGTGACTTGGGGTATATTTCTTTCCTAGCCTGAAAGAAATAGTCCTTTCTATCTCAAAATACTGTTATTTATTCTTCCAAAATTAAAAATTGGCCTTTAAGGAATTCCATTAAATTATCTCAAGTTCATTAGCAAAGCAACTTGTATTTCAGATGTGAAGATTCTATTCTTACTTCTCAATCTTACCCAACTTCAATTAATTCATGCTCTAGAAAGTCTATGATGTTCAGTGTAGTTTTTCCCCCAAGGCCTTTACCCCTAGCTAAGCAATAATTAACATCAGTCTGGCCTCACCTGTAAGGTTGATGTCTCCTAGCAAATCAAGAAGTTCTCCACCAGCAGAAGCTGGTTTGCTTGTAGGTGCAGTGGGAATAACAGGTGTTATGTCATTTCCTCCCAACAAGTCCAATAAATCATTGGCCTAAACAAAAAAATAATATCTCAATTCATTAGCTGTTTGTCTAACCTGTATCTAAGGCAAAGTTTTAATCTCTATCTAATGCAAAGCTATTTCAACACTTTAAAAATAAAGAAGAGAACCACTGATCAATGCAGGAACACTGAAAGGAATTAGTTCAGAGATAGATTATGAGGAACTATAAGATCCTAAGTACCCCAAGATAAGCAAGTGAAAAGCTACCTGGCTGGTGGGCTGTGGCCCAGAGGGTGGTGGTTTGGTCTCCAGTGGAGCTGGTTCTGTCTCTCCATTTGTCTGAACAATCTCAGTAGGGCCATTTGTGGTCACTTTTTCCATGACAGGCATTCTCTCAAGCAGGGCAGACCTGAAAGAATCTGAAGTGGTTAAATTCTAGGCAGTCAACCTAAATTCCCTACCCAAAACAATCACTGTAACTATACTGGAGTCTGACACGGACAGCCATCTCTGCTCACCCACCCAGAACAACACATCAAAATAGAAGGTAGATTATAAGAATACATGACCTAAATTCCTGGCTGGATTAAGGGCAGGCAAGAAACACTGAATGGACAAACTGTCCACCTAAATCCCAAGAGACTGGGATTTCTCAGTAGTAGAGAAATTGCAATAAAAATATGAAAATAAGCAGTATTTACAGTCTCTAACCAAGAAGATATCGCAAAACAGAAGGCGGGGGGGAGGGGGGAGTTGACGTGCACCAAAATATGAATAGTAATGATATCTGAAAGAGAGTCTCTCAAAAAAATACAAATCCCACTTCTTAACCAAACAAAACAGAAAAAGAAACAAACATTGCATACCAAGAGAAAGAGGAAAAAGGAAATAAGAGAACACAGTTAGCTTATTTCTTTAGAGGCCTAGGCAGAATAGAAGATGGACAAAAGCAGCCAAGCAGTTAGAACTTACAAGCAGGGCTGTAAGGTCCAGTTAATAAAACATAAGGAATGAGTCTCCTTTATGGATTATCATGACAACTTGTTCAAAATGCTAAGAGGCATGTGCATTACTTAGTTTCTTTTACTTACCTCATATGGTCATATTTCTTAAAAAGTGCATTATATTCTACTGCCCTCTGCTGGAGTTCCACATCAATGCTGCTTCCATAGATGGAAACCACTTTCTTAATTCGGCTTTGGGAAAAAACGACAAATTCAAATACTCAAAAGAAAGTTCATAAACAAGGAGAGAGAATAATATTTAAACAGTTTTCTAGCTAAAATTTAAAAATACTCATCTTTTCTTAAAATTTCCATAACTTTTCAAAAACACCTTTCCTCAACACCTGTACTTACCATTTACACTTCTAATTGTAATGCTAGATTTTGACTGTTAAATATCCCACACCCTAATATTTGCTAAACAAAAGTACCAATTATTACTTTGCTGCAAAAGAAGAAACTCATAACGTTGATTCTCTTCTTTAATAGCTTTAAAATAAGCATTTATCAACAAAGCGTCACAGCATCAGACTTTTACCAACAAAGGGTCATTACCTGACATCAAATTCTTCCATTCACAACTTAAAGAGTTAGTAAAAAATATCATTTTTAACAAGTCCTTACATTAAAAAGTAAAGCAGAGAGTCTAAGAGAAGTAAGTTTGCCTTAAATAATGTTTGTCTGGAAAACTGATTCAAGAATAACTTTTAATTCAAAACAGTGAAAAGCAGAATTTAAACACCAAAATTCTCATTGATTTCCTTCCTCTTCATACATCTCAAAATACTATAGTAAACCAGAACTCAAAATATTATAATAAAGTAATTATGGAGAAATAACTTCTCTGTACTTTAAAAAAAGAAAAAAAGCATTAAAAATCAGTTCTTAAAAATACAACTTTTTATCTTCAATATAATCAGTGGTGGAGTTGGGGTATGGAAGCACAGTATGGGTAAAATACGGAATAAACAAGATTTGATGATTGTTACTGTGGAGCAATAGGTCTATGTAATCAATTTTTCCATTCTACTTTTGCCTTTGCTTGAAATTTTCCATAACGAAAAGTTTTTTAAGATCACAGAACAACACGTTGACCCTACTTTTTCTCCATACTCACTTTACGGTACAGGTGAATCGAGTAGACAGCTTCATAATGGCAGTGAGGACATAACCTCGTGTCACAGAGGTGGACATATTAGAGATTAGGACACTTTCTAAAATATCCAACACTTCATCCTCTGTTACCTGGGGAGAAAAAAAAAAAAAGACAATGTAGGATGAGTCATAAAAGTAAATATCTAAACCTGGTATCAAGTCACAGGATGCCACCAGAAAGACAATCCTACCATCATTACCAAAGCTTCTAACAGTCTGTGCTTTGCCAGGGTAACTGGCCAAGCTGGTCCATCAGCCAGAAGCACATAGGAAGGAGGTAGAAAAACGTGAGGAAATACCCGCTGGGGGCTGAGGTGCATTACAGCTTTAGGAGACTGACATAGAGGAAGAAAAGATTTATAGAGTTCAAGTGGTGCTGAATAACTTCTGAAGCCAGGCCTTTAATGAGCATATGGAAACATGGATACACGTCTCATTTCTTCTTATTAGCGAGAGGGTAAGAGAAACAATACAATTCAGTTTGATGGGATAGGGAATAGGTCCTAAAGTGGTTTTTAAATCCTATACCAGCCCAATAAACTCTTATCTCAAATATTGGCAGGTTTCCCAATATAATTCTGGCATTACTTTCTTAAAAGGTTTCAAGGCATAACCTCAACTCCTCATTAAACACCTATCTTCTTATAACAACAAAAAAAAAACACTATTTTCCCTCCTTAACCAAGAGTGACAAGGGATACCTGAATAGGCTCTTCCTCTTCACATTGGCCAGATACGAGGAGATCTCCATATTCACCTATACACCATGCAGCTACTTGTACCAAAGGTTGCTGTCAAAAGAAAGTTACCATTTGTCAAAGATGTCAATCCTGGCAACAATTATGCAAACCACAGGTCATCTAATCATAAAGGTCAAAACTGAGGCACATCTAGAGTATTAGTAGTAAGAACACACTAGGAAAATAAAGGACATTTTTCCACCTAAAACATAAAGTTCTTACTTGAGAATAATCACCAAGAATTGCTTTGTACAAGCGCTGGACAGTATAGGCATGCATCTCCACACTATTAGTTATTAACTGGATCAAGTTGGGGACTGCATCATCACGAACATAGCTTCCTGCCTAAAAGGAAATGCAGACAGTTATCCCTAGAAACACACAGTAATGGTAAGAAATGTTAACGATTATGGTCATTGTTCAAAGAAGACTACTATAGAATGCCCTCAAAGTTGATTCCAATTCTTAGGTTTATAAGCAGCTCAAACATCAAAGTCTTATTTATTTAAATGAATATGCTTATTTTTATTCTAATTTTTATTGTTTTATGAAAAACATTAAATAAAATCTTAACCTTGATCGAAGTAAAATGTAAAGTTTTAGAATTTTAACAAATACTTTTTCTACTCATAACAGATAAGGTCTAAGGCATTAAAAATGTAAGACATAAATAAATGGGAACTTAATTACAGCCACCTCTCTTCCCACAACTCCCCAACACAGGTGTTAAAATCATACAGGCTAGCTATAGCGGTAGTCACATTAACTGGGGGATGAAGACAGGAGTGTACATGAACACTCATGTTAAATAAGAATTAAATAGCACCTTTTTTAAAGCTTGAATTTATTTAAAAGATCACACTGTCTTTTAAAAACTAGTTTATAAACACAGATCCAACCACCAGTCCCAGGAACAGGAAATATTTTGTATTTCATTAATAACACTTTTTAATTATCAACACTTGTTCCATCTCCCACACTTTTTTTTTAGCTTGGGTCTCTTTAACGTCTTCTGAACTAGCAGAATCTGACATACTATTCACAACCATAGAACAAAGTAAAGCTATTGAACCTATGAGGAAACCAAATCGTGGCCTTGTCAGAGCAGGATGTTAACCAGACTACACAGAACATACAAACAGGGAAACCTGTGTCTAGTATCAGTCCACCCTGGTCCACCTCCCGTTTCTGGACAGAACAGCAGACCTGATTTGTAAGACCGAGACTAGGCCCAACCATGTGTATTTTGGAAAGGGAAAGGAAAAAGTTAAAGACAAAAAGAAAAAAAATCCCAGGTAATTGGGATACCCACTACTGTTAAATAATATAAAGACAGAGAAGTTTGGGAAAATGGTCAAAAAAAGAAAGGTAAGAAGCTAAAAAGCAGGTAATTTGTGATAGTAATTAGGTATTTGTAGTCTTCCCTAATGGGAGAAAGCAGTGTTTTAAATAACAGAAAACATCAACATGATCTAAGAGACATTTATAGAATAAATACACATTATTCTCAAGCTCAGACCAAACACATTCACCAAGATAGACCACATTCTAAGCCACAAAAAAATTCTTTTAAAGAATAGGAATCATACAGATTTTAACTTGAAATCAGTAACACAAAGATAGCTGAGAAGTCCCAATATATTTGGAGATTAAACAACACGCTACTAAATAACACAAGGGTCAAAGAAAACATCAGGAAAATTATAGGCCAATACCTCTCATGAACATAAATGCAAAAATCCTTTAAAAAATTAGCAAATAAAATGCAACAATGTATAAAAAGAATTATACAACATAACCATGTGAGATTTATTACAGATATGGAAGGCTGGTTTAATGTCCAAAAATCAATTAATGTAATCCAGCACCTCAATAGGCTAAAGAAGAAATGTCATAAGATCTTAAGAGATCGTAAGAGATCGTAAAACAGTTGAAAAAATGAAGAGTAGGAGCATTTAAAAACAAAAAGGTTTCATTTTGATAACCATTTTTCTTCAGGAGCTCTTAATTTTTCCCTTCTTTTGAACTTCACAAAAAAAAGCATTGATTCATATATTTTGTTAGGATATAATATCCCCATTTCTAAGTACATTTATTAAGTTTTGACCTACAAAATTAATTCATTGTAGGTAAACTAGAAAACCAGTATGTCACAGAAGAATTCCACAGCAACACCTACACACAATCGCAATTTTAATGGTATCATTCCCTCCTACAGATATTTCATAGTTTACTTAACAAATGCCCATTTCGAGATGTCTAGTTGTTTCCATTTTTCCCCTATTATAAACAAGATTGGGATGAATACCTTTGTATATATATTTTTGGACACCTGTCCTTTTACATTTTCAAGAGAAAGTCCTAAAAACAGAATTAATGAATTAAAAAGTATAAATAAACTCTTTTGCTACATGGTACCAAACTGTACTCTGGAAAGATGGTGCCATTTTATACCCACATAAAACGAAGAGTACTGCCTATTTCTCTATTTTCTAAAAATGCTAGGAATTAGATTAAAAAGTATGACAAGTGAAAAATGATACCTCACTTTAAATTTTCTTTTTTACTAGTAAGGGTATTTTTAATTTCATTGTTAACTAGCCATTTCTTTCTTCTTTTGTGAACTGCCTGTTCAAATGTCATTTTTTCCATTAGAGTGTTTGGTTTTTCCTATTAATTGTAAATTATTTACAGATTAAAAATGTTTGGAGAGGAAGATATTTAATTTCTCATTTCAAATAATACATTAAAAATCAATTTACAGTATATTTAAAAAAATGTTAATATGCTGCCATATGTTATAATGTTTTTCCTCTGGTTGTCATCTGTAAACTTTTAAACTTTGCATATTTTTTCCTTTTGTTATATAAATTTTAATTTTTATTGTGGTCTAGTTTTTGAATGTTTTTCTTTATGGTATTTACTTCTGGTGACAGTAACTAGACATAGTTATGTTTTCTTTATATCTCACTACACTGTCATTTTTACTCTAAAGTCTCTAATCCCTGTCAATCAACTGCATGATGAGCAGAGAAGTTCCAAAACTGTGGAAACTGTCAAAGAAAGAATTTCTCATAAAACCATAATTTTAAATCCAGATTAATTTAGTCATTCAAAACCCTCTGATGGCTTTCTATCATATTAAAACAAAAATCCAGACTCCTGTGAAGTCCTATATAATCCAACCCCTGCCTCAACCCCACCATTCTCTGCCTCTCTCACTCTACTGGCTTCACTTACCCTCTTGCACTTCAAACAGGCCAAGCTTACTCCTGCTACTGAAGGGCTTTGCAACATGTGCTGTTTCCTCTGATTAGTATATTCTTCCCCCAAATCATCACAAGGTTCCTCATTTCACCAGGTTCTCTATTCAAAGATTACCTCTTCTGATGAATGAAACAAAGACTCATCCTCCTCTGCCATAACTATAGTCCCTTGTGCTGCTTTAGTGTTTCTTAGTGTTTTTTAGTGTTTCATATTTTTTTCCCTGCTGGACAGGGGAGTACATTATTTCCCCAAGCATTTCCTCATTAATCAGCACATCCAGCTTAGTAAATGTTGATTAAAAAAACTACTTACCGTTGTCAGAACCCGCATAATTGTGTCTATATGCCACCGTTTGGAAGGTGCATACCTGAGAAAATAATGGCAACAGGTGAAACAGTTGGAATCTATAAACTATACTGTGCTCAGTGGCTTTTCTGAGTCCTGTCCTACAGTCTTTTTTGGGTTCACTGGTTAAGTGATTAAAGTTGGACACATTTCACCTTCAAATCTGGCAGTGATCCCCATTTCAAAGGGCGATGAAATGGTACACAGTCAAACTTAGATGTTTCACATAATGTTGCAATAGGAATTGCTGAGCTGAGAAATGGGACTCTGTCTCCAGTTTTTTAAAAATAAATCATGAAGTCAGGGCAGGAGAGGATAGAGAACGAAAAAGAAAAGGGACTACTCCCAGACCCAGGCAACACTAGGACTAGGACCTTGTTCTCTTAAATTCACAGTGGAAAGAAGAGAAATAACCATACTACCAAAATCTTGAGGTACTTCTTCCTAAAATTTTTATACAGAATCACAGTGCAGATGCTATAACTTTTTCTACTCTCTTCATAAAAAGGGCATCATAGATGTTAAAGAACAGATACAGATTTATAAAAGTGGGAATTTTTTTGGTCTTAGCATACTTAAATGCTGGCTAGAATAGCCTTCTCAAAGCTCATTTCTAATTGGGAGCCTGAAATAAACTTTACATGTTTTAAACATGTTTATAACATTTTCCCCATGTTTTAAAGATGCTTTCAAAAAATTCTAAGCATCTTTTAATGATAAATGTAAAAATTAAATCTTACTTTTCTGCAGCAAGAAAGATTCCAGATGCACAGTCTGCTTTAAATTCTGGCTCACATGAATCCAGAAAATAAAGTAACTCCTTCATCATGCCTCGGATATTATTCCCATTTACCAGGGCAAAACTCAATTCCATTGCACGCCTTGTAGGGGGGAAAAAACAGTTATGATATTTATAGTGGGAATGAAACAAAGACCAAGGTATGTTGTCTCTGAACACCAAACATGGTGGATGTATTGATGTCCTTGCATGACCTTGTGATTCCCAATCTTTACACACAACATAGCCCAAACTATCAAAGTTAGTTTTAATATTCTGAATCTTTATTCGACACTTTTCTTCAAAAATCCCGAAGAGATACACTACTAGTGATCACAAGTGCAGTTTAGGTTCATCTGAAGCTGAAATTTACAATACTTAAGAGGCAATAAAAACATTATCTCTGCAATATTCCTTAAAAATGTGGTGAAGTCACCATACAACCCCCTTTTATTATATCCCCTTCTGTCCAAAGATGATGTGACATAGTTTATATCTAAGGGTATATAGAAAATTAGAATAAAAACAAACCTTGAGGGCATTATGCTAAGTGAAATAAGTCAGACAGAGAAAGACAGATAGCTGTATGATTCCACTTATATGTGGAAGCTAAAAAAGTGGAACACACAGACACAGAGACTTGAATGGTGGCTACCAGGTTCTGGGCAGGGGAGGATGGGCAGATATTGGTCGAAGAGTATAAACTTCCAGCTATAAGATTAATAAGTTCTGGGGATCATCATGATGACTAACTATAATTAATAATAATGTATTATATACATAAAAGCTGCTGAGAGTAAATCTTAAATACCGTCACCACAAAAAAGACATGGTAATTATGTTATATGATGTAGGTGTTAACTAACACTATGATGGTAATCATTTTGTAATATATATGTATATCCAATCAATGTGCATATACCTTAAACTTACACAATGTTTTATATCAACTATATTTCAAAAAAGCTGGAAAAAAATACTGAAGGAGAGAATGAACAAAGAGGAAAAAAGGACATGTGTTACGAGAGCGAATAAGAATTTCTATAACTGCCTATCAAATTTGGCAACCAAGGGAAAATGGAAACATTTTACATATACAGTTATAAGGCTACTATATTCATTTTTTTCATATTTGGTATGACAAAATAATTTCAAACATGGTATACAAACTGACTTTCAAAAATACCAATAAACAGAAAATACTTTCATCTTAGCTGATCTACAAGGAACAAAAATTCAATCCTTATGGAAATACAGTAATAGATCACTATATATATAGCTTAAGTACTTTAGACACACTGATCCAGTGAATCCTGCCCAACTCTGAAGTGGGTACTCTTGTAACCACATTTTATATATGGGAAACCACTGAGGCACAGAAAGGCTGAATAGCTAGACAAAGCTTATTAAGAGCAGAGCCAGGATATGAAATGAGGATCTGGATCCTGAGTCTGTGCTCCTATTGTTATACAGCCCATGAAAGAGACACAGGATTTACTGTTGAAATGTAAAGCCCAGTAACAAGCTATAGAAACAACACAAAGGGAGACAGAGGGTCTGATTTCTATTTCCAGGACTACCCCACAGAAAGAGTGAGGTTTCGTAGAGTAAGTCATCTGATTCCTTTGGGACTGTTAATCTGTTAATTGGGGCTAGAAGTGCCTAGTCTCTCTCACTGGCTTGCTCTGAGAGCCCACTGACAGGGTGCTTGTAAGTCCTTTCTTTGCAAAGCATTATATAAAAGTTGTCATTACTGAGTTTAGGTCTTAACTTTAGATTGCCCAAGCACTTAGCACCTGCTCTCTGCAAGTACAAGGAACTAGTTATCAGTAAATATTTGTTAAGTGAATGGTTTCAGAGATCATTTCAAATCTACTTTGTTCTGGATTCGCATACAGAACCAAAAGTTCACTGAGATCAACTATAACTATAACTGTAGGTTTTACAAACATCTACAGTTCTTCTAAGAGGAGAATTAGTAGAGCAATTCCATTGAGGGAAAAAAGTGCTATCTGCTGCCTAACAGTCATTCCTAGATGTATTATTCTAAGAAACATGCCACCTCTAGTATCTTAGGGCATAAGTACTGTGAGAAAACGTGTGCTGTCAGCAATCTGAGTTTCAGCATTGTGATAAAACACTTAGCCGATGGATCACTCTGTATTTACATCCTCCAACACACAGAGCACAGTACCTCTGTAAAGTAAATGTTTGCCCAGCTTATCTGTACCTGTTTTATTTATCCATGAAAGGACAACTTCAGTGTAAACTTAAGTATTTCTTATTGGCCCCCTTTATTGCCCTAAACTTCTCCCTGCCAATCCTTTGCAAAAAGGGATTCACTGTGAAAACAATGACTAAATATCAATGTTCTCACTCTCAAAACTCTTACCAAGTTATCGGGGGGTGGGGGGAACAGAGAACCATCAATAATCTGTTACCGTTTTATTGAGACATCCAAATCTTTCAGACAGTCCACAATCGTGCTTCTGTGCCTCTGTACTGCATTATGATCAGTCTGCACAGTCTTCAATAAAGATGTCAAAGCTACGTATCTGGATGAAACAAAGTTGCAGAAGAACAAATTGAAAATGTAAACTTCAGGATAGTTCTCTGCCTAAATGACAAAGAAGATGAATGACTAAAGGAAATCATACTTTAAAAATATTTAAAAGACAAGACAGAGTTGATGGGTATAATGGTAACTTTTTTTTATTACGGTATCATTGATATACACTCTTATGAAGGTTTCACAAGAAAACAATGTGGTTACTACATTCACTATAATGGTAACATTTTAAAAGCATAAAGGACAGTACAAAGTGGTGGCAACCAGGAGAAGCCTTGGATTTAAATTTGCATTCATGGCTAAATCCATTAAAATTTTTCAAAGTGATCAATTCAATTCATTCAAACTTTTCCAAATAAAACAACAAAATAAGCATATAGTATGCCTTTTCAGGCTGAGTTAGCTAAAAAGCGCAAGAGGAAGTGATTTCAATTTACCATTTCTATTTTCTCTGCTTTTATTTGATTCTGGCACCAAACTGCCTCTACAAAAATGAGCTTAAGATCTAATTATTTACAGTGGGTATGTAAATTGGTGCAACCACTATGGAAAACAATTAAAAATAGAAATACTATATGACCCAGTAATTCCACTTGGAAGTATCTACCCAAAGAAAACAAAAGCACTAGTTCAAAGAGATACACACACTCCTATGTTTACTGCAGCATTATTTACAAAGGCCAAGATATGGAAGCAACATAAGTACCCATTGATAGGTGAATGGATAAAGAAGATGTAGGACATATATACAATGGAATATTGCTCAGCCATAAAAAAAGACCGCTGTCATTTGCAACAACGCGGACGGCTCTAGAGGGTATTATTAATAAGTGAAATAAGTAAGACAGAGAAAGACAAATTCTGTATGATTTCACTTATATGTGGGATCTAAAAAAATATAACAAATGAACAAACAAAAAAACAGAAATAGACTCATTAAATATAGAGAACAAACTGGTAGTTCCCAAAGGGGTGTCAAGCTGGGGGAGAGGCAAAATAGGTGTAGGGGATAAAGAGGAATTAAAAAATAAGTATGTTATGTGGATGAAAAGTATAGCATAGGGCATACGGTCAGTAATTTGGAAGTATCTTTGTATGGTGACAGACGGCAACTACACTTATTGTGGTGAGCATGTAATTCATATGTATGTAATTGTCAAATAACTATGTTGTATACCTGTATTATTTTTTTTTTAATCTAAATATTTAAAAACTCTTTTGGAGATAATAGTTCAGAGTACCACAGTGATTATTTCCACATTTTTTTTCACGCTTTTCATCATAATAAAAAAAGAAAATTTTCTCTTAGTTAAAAGAAAAAAAGGGCAAGCAGGATATACTACAAAAATAACAAAATAAAAGATAATACTGATAAATTCATCTACTTTAAAAAACTAGCTACAGTTCACAAACACATTCCAGGTTGTGACCTAAAAATGTTACATTTTTCTTAATTTAGAGAAGGGGTCAGCAAAATGCAGCCTACCTGCAAAAAATAGTCTTCTGCTATCCAATTTTACAAACCAATTTTTATTGGAACACAGTCACACTCATTCTTTACATGGTTTATGAATAGTTTCACACCAGGGGACAAGAGTTGAGTAGCTGCCACAGAGACCCTAAAGCCCAGAGAACCTAAAATATTGACCATCTGGTACTTTATAGAAAAAGTCTCCTGACTCCTGATGCTGACAGTATAAATAGGATCAAAAATTAAATCATAAGGCTAATCCTCAAATTCTTTACAAAACACTAGTTTTAAGACCAGACTAAAAACAAAAATTCTGAGTTGCAGTTCTAGATATGTTCACTTGATACGTGTGTGATCTTGGGCAAAGTCAATCTTGGAAACACTGAGTTTATAATACCAGGATACAAAGTATTTTTCAGTTGACTTACCTAATATTCTTGTCATTGTTCAATAAGAAACGACCCAGAATATTTATGGCTAGGACCTAAATAGAAATAGCATGGGTTAAAAATCTAGGAAAATTAATTATTTATATTAAGTATCACTCCCTGCCTCTGATGGATGTAAACTATTTAAAGGTGATAGTTGTGGTAACTGTTAGTTATAGATGATGGCAAAAAAAAATCAGAAGGCAACTCTTAAAATCAGATCCTATTTCAGTAATAATTGCTGGAAGATTGTGTTTTAAAGTTTTTATATTGTTAGAGGAAGAATAATACTGGTATAGCTTTACTGGAGGGAAATTTGGCAGTAACTAAAAATTTAAAATAAAAATATATCCTCTGCTTCAGCAATTCCACTTCTAGGAATTCATCTCACAAACATACTTGTACATATACACAAAAACCTACTGCAACACTACCTATAATAACAAATGACAGGAGACATCCTAAGGTTCATTAATAGCAAATTTGCTAAGCACACTGTGGCATATCTGGTGGAATTATTACGCAACCATTAAAAAGAATGAATTCTGACACATGCTACAACATGGATGAACCTTGAAGACATCATGTTAGTGAAATAAGCCAGGTACAAAAAGGACAGTACTGTATGATTCCATTTGTATCATGTACCTAAAACAGTCAAATTCAGAGTTAGAAAGTAGAACAATGGCTGTCAGGGATTAAGGGTATAGAGAGTTACTGTTTAATGGGTATATAGTTTCAGTTTGGCAAGACAAAAAAGTCATGAAGATAAATAGTAGTGTTGGCTGCACAACAAAGTGAATGTACTTAATGTCACTGAACTACAGACTTAAAAATAGTTAAAATGGCATGTTTTATGTTATGTATATTCTACCACAGTGTTTTTTTTATGGGAATGGTCTCTATATATGAATATGGACTACCTCCAAGATAATGTTAGGTAAAAAAATGTTAGACGAGGGACCATATATATGTTACCATTTTGTCTGAAAGGTGGAGAGAGAAGAACTAACCTAAGTTACTTTGGTTATTTGGATCCTGGAGTGTTAAGTACAGAAAGAACTGTACACAAGTACTATACATATTTAGAAAATGTGTTTCTTACAAGGCTATGAACTAGCAATTGTAATATTAATAATAAATGACTGAAAGAATAAATTCATGAGGGAGAATTTTCCTTAGAGAAAAATTCCAATTATTTAATGAGGGAAATAGGAAAGTATCATTAGAACATCACCCCCATAACTGCTGCAAACAAGGTCCTTGGATGGATACTAACATGAGTATGCAAAAGTCTGAGGAGAATAGAATATTGCATAACCTCAAAGTGTCTCCCCCAAAACATTTTTAATTACAAAGGAAAAAATAATAACTTCAGAGTAGAATTAGAACAGATACCACCTGAACTAAGTGATCAAGGTTATTATCACCAGCAATGAGATAAACAACATGTACTTCCTGATATAATACTGAGAAGGACACATCACTTCTGTTACAGTCTTACCAAAAAAGCATAGCCTCAATCTAATTTTGAGAAAATACCAGACAGAGTCAAATTGAAGGACATTCTACAAAGTAACTGATCAGTACTTTTCAAAAGTGTCAAAGTCATGAAAAACAAGGAGACAGAGGGCTATTAGAGATCAGAGAAGACTAAGGAGACATGACAATTAAATGTAATGTGGGATCAAAGATTGCCTCCTGCAAGAGAAAATGGACGTTAGTAGAAAAACTGGTGAAATCTGAATAAGTCTGTAAGTTAGTTAGTGGTATGATATCAATATTAATGTCTCAGATTTCATAAATACATTATAGTCATGCAAGAAAGATGTTAGTTAATATTTGGAGAAGCTGAGTGAAGGACATATGGGAACTCAACTATTTTTGCAACTGTTCTGTAAGTCTAAAATTACTTCAGATAAAGTTTTTAAAAGTGGGAAGAGAAGAAATACCCTTTTACAGGCACATTTAAATATGGATAAAAAATCTGAAAAAATACATTAGAAAATGGTAACCATTATTTCCCACTAGAAGAACTGAGTCTAGATGTTAAAGCTACAGGCAGGTATTGTCTCTTCTGCATGCCTTTTGTACTGTGTGAATTTTTTTTTTTTTACTTTATGTGTTTATTTCTTAAATTACAAAAAAATGAAAGAAAAGTAAATTAACTCAAATATGATGTTTTATCTTGTTTGAAGTGATGAGTACAACTCAAATCATGGCTCTAGGAAAAGCTTATTCTGAAATGTTTCCTTCACTCAACAATATATATACCTACCTATACCTAAGATCTTCCAAATTTTACTATGATTACTATTAAGCCTTCAATGAAGGAAATGATACTTCAGATAACCAAAAACAGCATTATACATTCTGCACCATTCTTTCCTACGGTAATTTTCAAATGGAATTCATTTCCAAAATACTGAAGTCCATGTCAATTCTTCCAAATGAAATGTTTAGGGAGAAGAAAAGATTAAGACTTACTCGCAATCCACTCTCTGACTTAATATCCATGATAGTTAAAACCGTTTCATAAAGAATAGCATTTCCTACATTTTTACTAGTCTCTGTATTAGTGGCAACCTGAAAAGACACAGAGGACAATACATAAGTGATAAAACAATCCTTCCAAAAATATCCAGAGGTAACAAGAGGCATTTTGTGATTGACTATAGTTACCAATGAGTAACACAAAAATCATTCCACATAGCCATACTTATTCTACTCTCTGCTATACTAAATGTATATTTAATGTAATGCAGGTTTGGTCTACTCACCTGTGCTAATATATCATTCATAGCTTCACTTGAGTCATCATCATTTCGTCCTAGAATTCTTAATAACCGCAAAATTCGTACCTAACGTGCAAAACATGGTGTCAAAAAATTATGTCTGGCACAAAAGACCTTCACTTGATATGAAATTCAAATAACTTAAGTTTTAGATCCCAGTAGAAATGGTCAAAATTCAAACAGAAGAATTTTTTAAATTATCTTTAGAAAAATCATATATGCTTCTATGTCTTAATGAATTTATTAGACAACCCACACTTCACCACTCCACATCTAAAGGATACCACCACCTGCAGTTATATTATATTGGTGAGTCAAGTCTCTATGTAGTACATAATCTTTACTATTATAACTATAATTTTAGTCTATTAATCTAATATGGAATTATGTCACTATCCATTTATTAATGTAGTTAGTTCCAAGTAACTACTGGAACTATTAGTATCAGTATCAATTACTATTAGTTATTATCAATTAACCACCACATTTCTACCCAACAAAAACTTAAAAGGAGGGAAATAAGTTATTCCCAAGATATTAGTTCATGTATCATTTATCTGAAACTTTCAACCTCACCTGCAAAAAGGGGTCACTGATACCAGAAACATCATGTTCTGGTGAATATCCGGACATGATGAGGTTCTTTAGAATACGAACTAATTGGGGCACAAGCTGCAGGGAAGAAAGATGCATCACCAAACAGTGAATATCAAAAAATTTCTCATGAGCAGGTAATCTGGCTTAGAAAAAGGGTACAAGGGACTGAGTCCAAGCAAATTCTACTGATACTATATACTGTATATTGTTTTATTTGATAAATATAACTTAGGAGTATTTAGGCCATGAACTCCGGAAGGATTGTATATTTGAAGTGCATTAAAAACAAACTAGACTTTTTACTCCAGAGTTATATATGCAAAGATACTAAAAATAACAGTTTATATTAAAAATAAAACCCCAGAAAGCCTATGGGAACCAAGTAAAATAGACACCTATGGGGCATATTGCATTTCTACTTCTATAGAACTTCACATACCTACATGGCACAAACATGTTCAGTCTTTATCCATTCAAACATTTGCATATAAAATGTTATCACACCCAAAATACTAGTGATCTTATTAAAATTACAGTTATAAAACATATTACCTCAAATAGAGAAAGAAATCCTCTCCTCTTAAAATAGAGCTAGTTGTATATCCTTTTCCAACTAACAACAGTAAATACAAAAGCCCCCAACATTAACCAAGTGGCAAAGACACATGAAAAATTGTATTATCTTTCACCTGAAGAAAATACCAAGCCATGAATTAATTTCCTCTCCCTATTCTTAAATTATATGACACAATTTTCAGTAAAATTTAAGTTCAGCACTTAATTATACAAATTGATCTGTTGCCTGTTTTCTTGCCTTATCTTACTGATGAAACTCTACATTCTTTATGGTCAGAATTCCCTACTTTTCCTTCCTTTACTTTGTCCATTAGATCAAAACACATAATAGAGGCAATTTTACTGCCAAGCTAATCTTAAAGATGCTTTCAATACTGAACTTAAGATGCTTTAAATATTATCATTCATTTCATTCTGCTGATCAATTCGCTTAATGCTAAAACCCTATCCCAAAATGTTTGTTACACTAGGAACTTCCCCGTCTCCAACTAAAAATTCAGTTTAGCTATACAAACAACTCTGATCACCTAAAATTAAGAAGTGTACAAAGTGAACTGAATCACATCTCTTTTGGAGGCAATCAGAATAGCCTCAACTTTGCGGCAAACTCAATTACTTTTTTCTCATTACATTTGGACTCTGTCACCTCTCTACTCCCCAACTCTGAAAGGGGATCAAAATTCAAATAAAAGCCAAGTTATGATCAAGGTATGTACTCAAAACTTCACAATATTAAGGCCACTTCTAAATACAAGAGAACATAATCTGCATGAATTTAAATAAATTGGCCATAACAATTCCAAATTATGTGATTCATCCATCACCTAAGCAAAAATCTAATTTAGACATCTCCAAGATTAAAACAAATCTAAGCTATGGAGACCTACAAATTCTTAACAAAATTCTCACTAAATCTGTCAACTATAGGCAGATTTATATGAGATAAGAGTAATATAATTTTATAAACTGCTTTAAAATGTAATAAAACAGGGTTCATCTAGTTACTAAGCTCTGCACAAAAAGCAGCTCAATTTTCATACTTGCCAATGGGTTACTCTTCTGAGCTATACATTTCCCTAATTATTTTTAGATCTGATTTATTTCTTGGAGAAGTACTTTTTCCATGGGCTACTAAACTCAGAAATTGTTTTATTCACTGCCAAGAAACTAACACACCACATAAGATCACCCTAGGACAAAAAGCACAAATATCTAAGTGTTCAGTGTATAAATTCTTGGAACCCAGCTTTATTTTTCAGACAAAAAATGCAAGTTACTAAAGCTGATGACCAGACAGACAAATAAGATGACGAAGGGAAAGGCTGCAGCCATGAAAATCAGTTGATGCCCACCCACTCTCCCTCAAAATCCTTTTAATATTCCAAAACTTTAGGCAAGATTAAGTGCAGGTAAGGGGGAAATAAAAGCTGTATGTCTGCACTGAAAGCTCAGAAGTACATATGGAGATTTTTAAAATATGAGGTTATCCATATATGGCTCTGAAACATCTACTTCAAAAAGAAGCAGTGCTTTTTGTGTGAAGGCTCCAAACCTATCTGGTATTTCCATCACCAAAGCCACTAGGAAACTGCTCAAAGTTTCTCAAGTGACGATAAAGGAGAGGCAGAGAAGGAGGCTTGCAATTCAGGAGAGGCTGCAACTGAAATCCAAGGCTGACTTTGGAGTCAGGAGTTTAAGTGACACGACAAAAACTAGACTAAGGAGTTAGCCAAAAATGCTAGAACAAATAACTCATAGTATTAAGCACAGCTTCAGCATTAGTATATTTTTAAAAGCCACACTTGTGGATGGATACACAAAAGCTACTAAGGACCTAATGCCAACATGCACCATCTAAAAGAGGGTTAATTCTTACCTTTTCATTCTAACATACAGCAGGATTCCAAACAGACAACAGGAACAAAACATACAAAGCAAGCATTAGGGACAGATATGGGCCTCATACTATGTTACAATAATTTAATCAAGACATAAACACCTAAGAAAAAAAAAGGCCAAAAAAAAAAAAACTTCTATTAGAGCCTTATTAGATCTAAATTATGGAGTAAGCCCCATTTATGGGGTGATCAGCCCCTTATAAAATAAATTAAATGCATCTAACTACCCAAAGAACAGTCTTTCCCTGAGTCCTCCTTACTACTGCTTTCTAAAAATAAGTGGAGAAAACAAAAATTTCCACTTTTGAATGCTGTGAGGGAGGGAGAGGGGAAGGGACTTAAGAAAGCTAGACTTCCAGCACCGGAGTCACCAGCTTAAAATGAACCTCAGGGAACCCTGTTTTAGGTAAAAGTAATGTCAAATTACAGTTTGCAGTTTTCACCTTAAAAAAAAAGAAAATGAAATTAGCTGCCTTAAAAACACACACACATACAATTCCTGTTTGTAATCTGACCTCAGGTTACATGTCCTGACTTCAATGTGAAAACAGCAGATAGAGCACATGAGAGACTGCTGTGCCTGCCAACAGTGAGAGAAGACTTCTGTTACGAAATGGGAACTGTGTACTACTGCCTGTTCTTATATGCCTAACGCTGGCTTCCAGCACTACCCCACAGCAGGGCTGCCTAAGTCCTGTATTCAGTTCCATAGCTTCCTTTCAAAAGAAAATTTGTGAGAAAATCATGTACTTTTCAGGAAAAATATTTTTTCAAACAAGAAAGGCTTAAGCATACAGAATGTTACATACCTTTCTGAAATGTGCAAGCATGTCTGGGCTTCGCTCACACATTTCTGTGAGGAGGACTACAGATGTGTGAAGGACACCTGTAAGAAAAGAGCAAATGAAAACTAAAACTGAGGCTGTACTATTCAACCTCACAGAATAAGGCTTTGAGTTCTGAAGGTCAATTCCAAAAGGATAGTGACTACTTTTGGTTTTTATTCTCCCAAAGAATCTAAGCACTAAGATGAATACAAAGGAGGTATTTAATAGATGCCTGATGATTTAATACTGGTCAAGTAAGGCAAATCAAAATGTTTATTTAATTATGTGACCAAAACAACTGCTAAAAAACGACAACCAATACAGGTGTCTCTCCATCTGAGAGATATAAAGGCAAAGATAGAGGCTTATATCATTGTCATATAAACTAGGTATCATGCTCCATACTAAATAAGTTCTTAGTTGAGTTCTGATAGACATTATAAGAAGTAAAAATCTTCCTACGACTTTAGACAATATAACAAGCAAAAATCTTAATAAGATTTTTAATTTCCAGATATCATGTATCAAAACTCCAAGGTAACTGTGGATGACAAAGTGAATTTGCTTGTTTCAGAGTGAGTGAAAAGAATCTCAACAACAGTTTTGACTAAATAATAAATAAGTACCCTGAAGTTTCTTTCATTTGTTCAACAAGTGTATTTTGAGCCTTTTGGGCACAGGACTGAACTAACCAAATTAAATATACCTTACAATTTTTTCTCTTAACACTTAGGACACATGAATTTTCTTGACTCAGACCTTGTTTGACTGACTTCAAAGTAAGAATAAAATGTTTGGGAAAAAACAGCTACATTCCATTTAATTCCTCTCATGTTTTATGTAAACATATTCTGAGTACCCATTACAAACTCCTGCTATAAGTAACCTAAGAGGATCTCACTAATCTTATACTCCTACCACAAGGTAACAAAGAAATAACTTTTTATTCTATTATAAAATAGCCAAGAAATCTAAGTGTTTTACACATGAACATAGGTTATTTGTACATTACACTGAATATTAGCAACTTAAGCAGTACTTTTAATATACTAAAAGAGGCCCAGAGATTTAAAAAAAAACAAGTTTAGTTGCAGGAATCAATCTCTAATTACAAAAACAGGATATAAGAGTAGAAGAGGGACTAGACCCATCAGCCCTTCCTGGAAAATTGTCTTAGCACAGTAGAAAGGCAACTTCACTACATTGAGATAGAAGCCAACGCTGCCTGAAGCCTTTTCTCTTTCCCATTCTCCCTCAGTACTTCACGAGTGCATCCAAATCAAATTACCATGGTTCTTTTCATTCAATAAATTTTTTGTTGCTGGTAAAAACATCTCCATAAGCTCAGGAACCTTCCTGATGACATGAACAGCACACAGTGCTGCCTATAAGAAAAATACAAAGGACAAAATAATTATTTTTATTCAGTCAGGGCAATCAATCTTACAAAAAGCAACAAAAACTTTACCTACTAGTTCACCTACTAGAAAAATAAGAAGGAAGTCTGATATTAAATTTTTATTAGCTGGTTAGGACTTCCCAATTTATATTAATGTATTGAGTGAGAATCTGTCCCTTTTTCATATATTGCTAAGTGGACAAAAACCTCCTAGACTAGACCGTGGTTAACATGAATTCATGAGACAAGTTAAATGTAACTTATGTGGAGTTTAGCAAAGTAAAAAATAAAGACTCCCGTCTGTGATAATCCTTCTTCTAAGATGACCAAAAGGTTTTATAAAAACATCATGCAATAAAGATCTATGCAGCAGATGCTTTACTTTTTTACTTTTAATAATACCTATACCTTCTCCAACTCACTCTCTGCTGTCATCAAGAAAATCATTTGAAAGATACTTAGCAAAGCAAGTCTCTAATGAAGAAAAGATGGTCTTAGTTTGCTCACTGATGAAAAAGGAACATTCAATCACTGATTTTGGCTACCCATCCAAAGTAACCACAACTACTATTTGTAGGGAGTTAAAAAACATAAAAGTTTAGATACATTAGCAAGAAAAGATTCAGCTAATTCTTCCCATGCTATATTTAAAGAAAAAAAAATTTTCCCCTAATCTGCATGAATGTTTTACTGTACTTTCTGAACAAGAGCAACCCACACATTCCTGAAGAGAAGGACTGGTTTTGTTTCACAGCCATCACTTACTAGTATATGATCTTAGAAAAAAGCTTGGTTCTCTCAATGCCTCTGTCTCAAGCCATTCACAAAGAGGCATGATAAATGCCAATGGGATGATAATATGTGTTCACCTCTTGGAGTTCTAAATTTTAATACTCTTTGTTCATGAAGGGTTTGGGGTTCAAGCACAATAAAATAATAAATTGTTTATATCAACAAGTCAAAGCAGATAAGAGAATAAGATCACTGTCATCTATTACTACTCCATTTAGATATACCAATGTTCTACATCATTACCTAACAGTTATCTAGGTCCCAATGGAACTGCACTTCCAGAGATTCAAAGGCACCAGGTACAAAGACATGGGCACTGATTATTAGGTCAGAAGTAAATTCATAAAAATCTGTTCATTGTCACTTTGTTTCATACTGTTTAGAATCAGGTAATTCTTCACAGAAGAATTAAAGTTTTCACAATTATTTATCAATTGGAGAGTTTGATAAAAAAATCACCTCTAAAATTAGTATAAAAAACAGAATTTTATCTATAAATACTGGTTCATATGTGGTTGTTTAAAATACATTTTACTGCACAAAGATATGTTATCATCATAGCTTTCAAAACTGAAAATTTGCCTTCTCATCTCCTTATTACTCCCTAATCCAAACACAGACATTTGGCTTCATCATTAAAAGTTACCTTTTTTCTCAAATAAGAGTTGGAAGTTTTCAGGAGTTTCTCTACTTCCCCTGCAAGATCTCTACACATCTCTGAGGAGCCCATGCAGCCGAGGGTACAAAGTGCTAGCCCCTGAACATATTGCGTACTGTGATTAAGATCACTGCAAAAGAAAGGAAGAAGGTAGATGAACATGTTTTGCCTGGTGCTCCCATGAAGGAGCTTCACAATGAATCAAGGGTAGCTCTGAGTGATTCACAATTTTTCCACTAAGAAAAATACTAGTCTTATTTGTTACAAAAACTTTGATTCTAACTTTACTACAAATTACCATATACAGTAAACTGACTGACAATTCCTCCCACAGGATTACAACTCAATGTTCCCAAATGCCAAAGCACCAGAAATTGAACATGTTATCTGTTGGATATTAAAGACAACCCACCTTAAAAATCTCAGCAAACCACTCAAAGTAAAAACTGGCGATTATAGAAATATGAAGCACAACCACATTTTAAAAAAGATCTTTAAAATACTCAATTATTAACTACAAAAAAAGGTAAGGTATACATTAACCAAAACCTTTAAAAAAGAAGTCAGAAAAAGTGTAAATTAGCCAGGTTTGCTACTTTTCACCAATTTGAATGTTTAAGATAAAAATTTCTATAAAATGAAGCTTAAATATTAACTATGGCTTTACTATTTAGGCTCCTAGTTCCCAAGAATACTTATTAACTTTTCATCTATTTTTCAATGATTAGGAATATCTGTATAATGCAAGCTCTTAAAATATCATATCCAATTTTTTTTAATTCCAAGATCTTTAGAGTTTTTCTAAGCCAAACAATGAGGTAAACATTCATTATTAAACACAAAAACTGCTAGTACACTATGATGTCCTGTTATACTAATAAACAGCGAAAAACTCACCAGAGACACAAAACTCATTCATTAACAGATTAAAAAAAAAAATGCACCACACTGAGTTATCCAAAGTCCTTTAACTAAGCTTAGACTGAAGTGCCAGAACAATTTCCAACCTAGATTACTAGCTTTTTCCTAAATCTGCTTGGGGTTTGGCTGACTCTCATTAAAATTAAACACAAAGATTTATTCCTTGCCTATGTGCCTTGTTCTTCAATTTTTATTAAGCTACAAACCTCTACTTGAGTGGTATTAACTCTCTAATATGAATTTGCTGTTAGGTAGAACTGACAAATTTCCAGCATGTGACTGAAGGCTTGAGTAGTAAAGGCAACAGAGCATGCAAGAACAAAAATTAAAGAAACTCTCGGAGGTCTGTCCAAATAAGTAAATGTATAAAAATCATGCTAAACATCTAGAATGTAACCTCCATGATACCAAGGATTTCTGTCCATTTTTTTCCATTTGCCATTCCGGAGCTTACAGGAGCTCCCGGCATGCAGAAGTAGACAACAAATATTTGTTAAACAAATGAATCAACTTAGTATTTTCATTATTATTATTTATTTCAAGCCCAAAAACCAGGAGTCCCCCAAAACTAAGTTCATAGACCCAATATATTTATTTTGGAATTTTCCAAAATAATTGGAAAAAATCTAAAAAGAACGGTATTTACCACAGAAAAGTATGAGTTCAAAATCTACAAATTTGATCACCTATATACCCCTGCTTCTATTTTCTGTCAAATATAGAAATGCTGCAAATGAAAAAGAAATCTAAAAAAAGATTAAACTGATAGACAAACCAAAGCCAAATGAAAACAAACCAAAAAGTCCTTTAACAGTATGGCCATCAGAACTTCCATAACAGAAATTTATTAAAAGAGGGATGCTGGCAAAAGTCCTAATTCCCTGCTTGCTAATGCTAATTTCTCCACATAACAAGCATTCTTTGGTTTCTAAGTTAAACAAACATGACTGGACTAGTAAATGACCCAAGAGAGAAAAAAAGACTTTTACACAAAAATTCACGGGGCTAAGTATAATTCCATACAACTGAAATCTTGGATTAGACAGCTGATAAGCCAGACCTCTCTTTTTTCCTTTAAAGAATTACACTGGTAATTCTTTAATAAACTTAACAGTTCATTATTCATGGTATTCAAATCCTGGAACTACAAGAAAGCTCAGATTTACCAATGCTTTTTCTACTCTGTGATGGCCCAAACACTTATTTCATTGCTAAATTGTGTTCCTATACCTGAAGATGTACAGCAGTACTTTCATTTAATTAAATTATCCTCTCCAGAAGTTTTGATCCTTTGCTTAGCCTCTTTACATATAAGCTACAGAACCAAAAGTAATTCAAATATATGACAATAAACATAAAATCAATAAATAGAGGCTCTCATAAAAGTACACAGTATTTATTAAAAAAAGGAAAGAGAAGTCTTACTTCTTGATACAGTTGGTCATGAGGAGATGGACATCTTGTCTTTCATCTAAGAGCAGCATTGCCCCTAAATAGCCAATGCGTTTGTCTGTGAATTTCTGAGAGGCGATAAGCTTGAGGCACTCCAACTGCAAATTTTTTAAAAAAGAAAAAGTAATTAGGAAATTGCTGCCACAATTAGGAAAGCACTGTTTTTAACCGAGAGTCAATGGATGACTAAAATATATAAATATAACCTGTATCAACAAACCACCTAAATAAAAGGCAAAGATTTAAGATCTTGGGATATCTTAATAACAGTAATTAAGTTCTAGATTAGATCATCTTAAGGTCTTATGATACTTGCCATCTGAGTGATCTGTGAACTTTACATCAGTTCTACTGATTCACCCAAACTAACAAAGTATTATAATAAGATACTAATGAACCCAATTCCTAATTTAATCCCCAGGTTGTATTAAATGAGCATCTAACCCATGTGTGTATTTAAGGTCTGGTTACTGTTCTGAATATTAGAAAACTCAGTTACTGGAATATATCCAAGTGCCAAACACTGTCCTAAAATAAACACAAGGAATGTACAACTAAAGAGACAGACAATAATTAACTTAAATATAATGTGGAAAGTCCTACATTTAGAGCTTGAACCAAGTACTGTGGTAGAGGTGAGGGTTTTACGAATCAAATACAGATGAAAAAAAAAAAGAAAAAAGAACAGAGAATTCAGGAGTGGAATTAGCCTTAAAATATTTTATACAATTTCTTTTTACATAATTGTTAGAAATTTCCAGAGTTAAAAGACTGTGTAAATAGTTTGTCTCTCCACCTAGCCTTTCTCGTATGTGACCATCACACTTTGACATACTCTATTATTCCGTCTTGACTACCATGGAAAAGGCCAAACATTCCCTCTAGAGCAGTGATTTTTTCGAAGGTATACGAGTTAGACTCTCCAAGAAGAGTTTTCAAATGATGCTCCCACTTAGAATCACTGCATCCCAAGGCAATGGGCTCAAATGCAGACCTGTGTACACAGGAATCTAAGATCACATGAGACTACTTCCCATGTGAATTTGCCTATAACTTCAAAAGTAAAATTGAGGCAAGAGAGTTTACAAATAAAACTGTTTTGAGCTATTTAGAAATTGCTCTCTTAATTTACCTACGTATAAAAACACTTAAAGGCAGTGGAATGACCATCAGCATGTGAAAAGAGCCTCCATGGGAAAATAACCAGGATACAAAAGGAAAACAAGAACCCCTTCCGAGGTTGACAAAGCCTATGACTCTCCCCTTCCTTATATAAATTCAATTTAAATGTTAAGAAACAATTTCTGAAATAGACGATGAAAGTCATCTTTTTACTAAGTCAGCAGAAAAATTACTGCTGAGGTGAATGAGAAAATCAGGAGCTAAAATGTTATTAGAAAAATCTTTACTCTTTTTCAAACTGAAGGTTTTAAAATCTTCACATTTAATAATTCTATAAATAAATATTTCAGCAGTGAAAGAAAATGTTCCAACAATCAGGTATCACAGGAATTTTTATCATCCTTACTGAATCATTTTTCTGGCAAACACCAGGTTTTACACAAATAACAATTTTTTGTTAAGATAAACTAATGAGAAGGACACTCTTAGGCTTTAATACTACTTTGTATTTTTTATGGCCAAGTTTTAAGATAGTCACACTAAAAGTCATCAGTGACTGGTGGGTACAATTTGTTGTTTTTTGTGATTCTTGCTTAAACTTAGCTAGAAACTAAATGGCAAAAAGAAAAACTAAAATTTAAACAAAAAAAACCTCAATTGGTTCTTTTTAATATTACCCATTGGTACAATGACTTTGCATCAAGAATAAGTGTTTGAACTCTGACAGTGACAAATCTGATGGGAAACCTAAGATTATATGACTGGAAACAGTACCTGAAATACACCCTCCAGTGAAAGATTTATTCTGACCATACTGTACTCTCAGATGGCAGTGGCCAGCAATACTGCTGAGAATGTACCAGGTTTCACATTTAAGAATGTTATCAAAGTTTTCACATGTTGAAAAAGAAAAAGTTGGAGGCAAATACAAAGAGGCACAGGTAAATGTGAGGGGAGGCATCCATTTTTAAGCATCAGTCACTAAAAACAACTCAACACTAGTGTGAGTTACAGAAGAAAACTGGTAATCAATTAAATGTATCCCCCTCCTTAGGAAACAACCTCAAATTCATCCAGTACGACTAATCCTCACATAAAGATAACTAAAAATCCCACCTGAAACACTGCTGACCCACAAATCTAGCATATGCTTTAAGATCACAGTAAACAGCCCAGTTTTTATATTCACAAAATCACAGATGTAACAGATAACTACTGTTTTTTACTCCAAACTCTATGAGCAAAGCCAAAAGCCAAATGTCAAACTCAGAAGAAATATTTGCCAACTCATTTCACAGACATGAAATCGTAATAGGATCCTACATATTGATTTTTATGAAGATCAACAGCTTGACATAAAAATGGACAAAGATTATGGGCAGCTCAAAGAAAATGAAAATAATTTGAACATACAAAACAGGGTTCAATCTCATTCAAAAAAAAGCAAACCCAAATAAGTAAATTTACTTAAAAATTCATTGAAATGTACAATTGAAAAGAGGGAATTATAAAATATGCAAAATATACCTCAATAAAGTTATCTGAAAAGACAACGAAATGCAAATCAAAACCATATTGAAATACTTTTTGACCCATTATATTAGCAAAGATAAGAAAGAACTGTCGTAACAGCGTGAAGACATTTGTGACGGGAGCATAAACTGGCACAAGCTATAGTGAGAAATATCTGGTCTAAATTACAAATACACATACACTTTGACTCAACAATTCCACTTTTAGGAACTTAAACAGTATGTATTTATATACCCACATTGCAAAATAATGGATACTATCCAATTGGAGCACTATTTTAAGCAGTTAAGACTGGGAATAAATGTCAATTAATAATCATTTTAATAAATTATGATTCATATATATAATAGATACTATGCTAGATGTACTACCATGAGTATAAAAAAGCTGAGAAAAAAAGGAGGAAGCTCTTTATACACTGACATGGGCTAATCTGAAAACAGTATGTTGCAATATATATTTTAAAAGGCGGGGTGGTGGGCAAGAATATATATATCGATAGTCTGGAAATTGTATAAAGTATCTCTGGAAGGACAGCCAAGAAATGGTTGCCTATCATGGAAACTAAGTGATTGAAAGAGAATAGAAAGCAGTTTTCATCATATACCCTTTTGTACCTTTTAAATTTTGCATCAATTACCTGTAACTGTAATCCATTCCAAAGATAAATAATATTGACCTAGATGGAAAAAAGTTAAAACTGTAGGATAAAGGGAACTTATATCTAACTTGTGCCTAAAATATTAATAGAATACTGTGATTTAAAAGAGGGGGGAAGGGAACTCACTTATTCCCTCTGCAAAGCTGAACTGAACATCATGTATTTCAAAAAATAACAGAAAGGCATTTAAGTCTTGGAATTGTTTGATGAAAAAGACTGAAAACTTAAGACCAGACTCTTATGAAAATACAACTCAATAAATGGTAAAAATCAGCCTCTTTTAGGTAACTTGAACTCATAATGAACAAATATTGTGCTATTCTACCTGTGATGCTATAGAAGCTTAAGTATTTTCATTCCTATCTCAGCACAATTCCCACAGTGGCTGTGCTTTATTCTGCCGACAGTTAGTTCATATTCTTCACTTGTCAACTTCTTACTTGTCAATGACACTCTTAATATACCTGCTTTTTCACAGCAATCTTCTCCCTCTACCCCCACCTCCCATCCCAAAGGGTTGATTGCAATAACTCTGCTCCTTACTGATGCTTTTATATTTACTTTCCAATTGTTTTGAGATGTTAATTTGCTTTAATTTAGTAAACTCCTGCTGTGCACAAACCAATGTGCTAGACATTCTAACTTACACATAGTTAGAAGGGCACATAGAAGGAAACCAACATTCGGATATACATCATAAAGTATGACAATATATATATACCATGACAGTTATGCATAAGCTACTATAAAAACAAGTTACAAAAGGCATCCAATTCAGGTTAGAAACAGCAAGAAAACATCAGTGGAAGATTCCTCTCTTCACGTAACATATTGTGGAATTGAAGGAAACCACTCTGCATCAGGAGCTGTGCCTCCCTAATCTTGGTTCTAGCTAAGAGACCTAAGCAAGTTATTTCAACAACTTGGGCCTCAGTTTCCGCATCACTAAGGTAACTGAGACATATCCTGGAAGACAACCCTAACAGTTGTCCCCCACTCCCTGCCTTCAAGGTAATCCTTGAATTTTCTCAAGCTGATCCCTGAAGTGGCATCAGAAGTCTTCTGAGAAGCACTCCAGACATCTTATTAGCAATAAGCCTAAGAGACTGAAGTTATCAGGCCCCTTTGGAACGAGTACAGTGCCTTAAGAGGTGGTTCCCAAAATCACGTGAGAGTGTTCTGAAATACACAGGTCACCCCCAGGATAGCCTGACAGAGTAGGTATGAGGTAAAGCCAGACAATTTTTATAAACTTTGTAGATAACTCTCAATGTTCCAATTTTCTTTGAATTTCAGTACAATTTTTCAAAAAAGAATGTAAGCAGGTTTCTGGCCTTGTTACATTTTTCTGAAGCAAGAATGAATATTGTCTTTCTACAATGTTTAATCTGGTTGCCCTTTAGAAAAAAGCTGCACCTATTTTATTAGCTTTTAGAACTTCCCACACAAATGCATACATTTGCATTTAAATTTACATTTGAACTTTATGTGAACAACCATCTAGATGAAAATATGCAATCAAAATAGTGTAAACATTAATGACCTGCAACTGATTGATTAGACCTTTTAAGAAGTTACTTTTTATTTCATTTTAATATTCAGAAATAATTTTCTAGTTTACACACACACTTTTGAAAAACAAATTTGCTTCTTACATTGCCACTATAGTTTGGCAATATAAAATCTATATAGACTAGCCTGTTTTTTCATTCTTCTGGTGGTGGGGGGAGAACCCACTAACATTCCTATTGCATCCAAATTTTTTCTCGAGATAATCTACTA